CTATTACAGATGCGTCTATTCATTTCACCTTTCCATCAGGGAGAAGGGTCTACTTTTAAACTTGACTTCTAACCTATAAAAAGGCAAGGGTGTTCTAGGATTGCCAGTAAAAGCTATTCTGGAGTGACATTTAAACGTTGAAAGAGGGGTCACAATGTTTGCCAGTGTACATAACATTTTGAAACATTACCCATTTATCATTTTGTTTTGTTAGATATCACATCAAATCTGATTTCAGATGAGTCAGAAATACACATCTTTTCTTGTATCATATCCGAGATAGAATTACAGAAATATATCTCTGGTTTCAATTAAGTGCATTTTTATAAGGTCAGAATATTCATAATCCCAATAACAATAATAACCGTATTCTAAAAATGCCTTTAGACGACGATTCAAGGGACTAGACCAACAAAGCTCTACTTGTTTTTCATTATCATCCCAATTCAATTTGGTCAATTTATTTTTTATTGAAGCTTGACTCTCAGTGGGCTATTCTGACCTCTAAAATAACTACCATTGACCATGGTAATAAATGACCCACTTATGGGTAGCAGACCAGTGCTTACAATGTGAAAGGGTGTGTATAGTCATTTTGCTGACATTTCATTGAGTAAATCCACTTCCCGCCAAAACGAAACTTTCTGACATATTCAGACCTGTCATTAGAATATATACTCAATGTTGGATATTTGTTGCGCTCTATAAATGTATTATTATTATTCAATATATTTTCATAGCATTTAATTCATTAATAATTGCCTGAAAATCTTATCAAGTTGTAGTCCTAAGGGATTCACTGTTAGTATCTTAACAATACTACAGTAATTGATTGAAAAGTTTCTACTTGAAATTCCAAGGGAACTTGAGGAAAAATTAAAAGGATAAAAGTATGTCTTACAACTTAGAATATTGAATACTGGCAATTTATACAAACTCTCTCAACAAGAGACTATACTCTAGCTTAATACTGAAATGATATAATGTGCTAACACAATTAAAAGTTGTTCAAATGCCATATAATGACAATGAAGCTAACAAGTCTTTTTTATACTCATGTCCTAGCGTTGGCAAGATGAGGGAAACCGTTTTTGGTCTAATGTTAGAACAAGGTATAACAGTAATTCTATCACAAAAAATACAATGGCAAGGGGGAGACATTGCACAATACAACTAATCATGTCATAAACTCATTGTTAAAAGATACTAGGTGAAAATTTCAATCTAAAAGGAGAACAAAACTATGCACAAATATGTGTGCAATTTATGATACGTTGATTGAATGATCATCTATAGCACTAAAGGTACATGAAATATTTAAATGTTAATACTAGGGATGCTCATATTAATACTCAGATGTACTATGATATCTTTATTTCATTGATACAGAATACATGTTATGATAGCACTATTCTGATAAGACAAGATTAAAACTGATTGAAGTTTCTTTTACAAAAACATAAACACAAACAAAAACTTAAATACATCTATCTTACTGATCAGAGTTGAATGTACCATGAATTTTCACTAAACCATAATACACAGCTAATATTACAATGTTCAAACTACTTGTTCTTACAAGGTACTATGTTAGAGGTAGAGTAAACAAACATAAACATGACATGATCTTTTCTATACATTCCATGCAGCATATCTCACAAATCAGTCCATCATATATAAAGAAGATTAAAAAACAAGTAAAACGAACGAGAGAAAAAAGATCAAATGCAATTTACATAAATTAACACACACAGACACAGGTAGACATACAAAAACTCACACTCTCACACACTGATCTTTCCAGTTCAAAAGTAAAGTGTAGATCTTCATTCAACTTTTAGGCATCAGCAACTACAATGTGCATCACTTGCTAAATATCGTGTCTATACAAATAATGTATCACCTTCATCTAATTACAAGACAAACAGCTTTTCTATGATTCATGTATAAACCTGTTCCACTCTTTCAAAAGCCCTCACTAGAACTAGATTTGTAGACTCATATTTTACAAACCTGCTATACAAAGGTCCATAAAAGGGTAATCACAAATTTTTCTTCAAATATTTCTTCATCTGACTGAATGAATCCTATTGTCCAATATGTTTAAAATGAGCAGCAGGGACCAGTCATCTACTTTCTTATTACTAAAAAAGCGAAACAAACTTAAACTTTCCTTTCTAGTCTTTTCTTCGTATTTGCAACAGCAGAATACATATTGTTGTTGACATTTTATACTACAATAATTCCTTTATTTAGGTAAAAATTTAAATGATTGATGCATTTTTTTAGATCTCTCCCCAGACAAGCAAATTTTGGAGAAACAAAAAAAATCTCAAATTTCATGAAAAAAAGACCATCACACTAATCATATAAAATGTAGTCTTCTGAAACATCTCTGTTTTCTGGATCAGTGCCATTGATTAGAAGAGCCTGACCAACCTGGTTCAAGTTGGGCACAATATGACAAATACTGCTCTATTGATCAAGCACAAAATAAAAGAAAATACACTATGTATAAAGTTGTGACCAAGTGAAACTTAGAGGGCCAAACTCTGTGTATAGATGGCTCAATTCTGGAAACTGTTATGTCGCCCTCTCCAGCTCTCAGTCATGTTGTCATATATCTGTGGATCCTATTTGAATTGAATGAGCATATTGTTCACTAACTCCTTTGTAGTCAATGCTACTTTTATTAATTGTGTGGCAGCAGGAGTGGGATCTATGCAACTTTTTTTGTACTGATGTGGTGGTGGTTGCAGTGGGATCTGAACTGTTGACTGTTAATTTGGTTCCTTATTGTTGAAGTGGCAGCGGTGGGATATGTTGACTGTTTATTTGGTTCCTTATTGTTGTGGTGGCAGTGGTGGGATATGCTGACTGTTAATTTGGTTCCTTATTGTTGAAGTGGCAGCGGTGGGATATGTTGACTGCTAATTTGGTTCCTTATTGTTGAAGTGGCAGAGGTGGTATATGTTGACTGTTAATTTGGTTCCTTATTGTTGAAGTGGCAGCGGTGGGATATGTTGACTGCTAATTTGGTTCCTTATTGTTGAAGTGGCAGAGGTGGGATATGTTGACTGTTAATTTGGCTCCTTATTGTTGAAGTGGCAGCGGTGGGATATGTTGACTGTTAATTTGGTTCCATATTGTTGTGGTGGCAGTGGTGGGATATGTTGACTGTTTATTTGGTTCCATATTGTTGAATTGGCAGCGGTGGGATATGTTGACTGTTTATTTGGTTCCTTATTGTTGAAGTGGCAGTGGTGGGATATGTTGACTGTTTATTTGGTTCCTTATTGTTGAAGTGGCAGCTGTGGGATATGTTGACTGTTAATTTGGTTCCTTATTGTTATGGTGGCAGCCGTGGGATCTGTTGGCTGTTAATTTTGTTCTTTATTGTTGTGGTGGCAGCGGTGGGATATGATGCCTGTTAATTTGGTTCCTTATTGTTGAAGTGGCAGCAGTGGGATCTGTTGCCTGTTTAATTATTTTCTTATTGTCTGGTTGTCTCGATGGGGTCAGTTGACTGTTAATTTGGTTCCTCATAAGTGTGGTGGCAGCGGTGGGATCTTACTTTTATTTTGTTCCTTATTGCTATGGTACCAGCAGTAGGATCTATTAAATGCTGATTGTGCAGTAGCAGGAGGTATTTCCAGAAAACTATCCTTTTGGTGTGGTGGCAGCGGTGAGATTTGTTTAATATAAATTTGTTTCCTTCTTGGTGTTTTAGGAGCGGGAGGATCAACGTGATTTCAGTTATCAATGGTCTTCTATTTTGCATGACATACATAAAAGGAATACTTTTGCCCACGTGAAGCTATCAATATGTGCTGTAAAGATTTAGTATAATCAACTGTGTTACTCTAAACAAATAATGTTCTCATCAACATTGTTATATTTTGGTATGCCAAACAAAGTGAATCATTCGGCTTTCACCTTCATGTATATTTGAGTTGACCAATCTCCAAACACATTTCTTTAGCACCTATTTTGACAGACTAACCTCACTGGATGACTAAAGCAAGTAAACAAATTTCAGTAAGTAGAAATTCAAACTTTCTCTAAGCACAGCCTGCTGACGAACTCTTACAACTTCCTGTCCATAGCAGGAGGTAGCAAAAAGAGGTAGTCATGTGATATGCATTGATATTTGTCTTTGATGCACATGTCACATCACAGGAGGTGAGGAAGAACAAGAAGATAAGTACAAGAACACTGTAGTCGACACAAATTGTTTGAGGTTGTTTCTGAGCTTGTAGACCATGTTGCCATGAGGAAAACAAGGTAATGAGGTACATATTGACACCATGCCATTTTAAAAAATACAAATGGTATATTCAGAGCAGCTCTTAGAGCAGGTACTGTCATGTCAGCATTGATGTTACTTTTTAAAATCCATCTGCAAAAAACTTTTCAGAGAGATGACTTTCATGCAGAAACAAGACATACAAGATTGCTTTCTACAGCAGCATTTAATTTTAACCTGAAACAGATTGTATGTATTCTGCAATGCTCTTCATCAACCCTGGTGTCACACTTCTCCAGGTGACACATATATGCCTGTGAGTCTTAGCCAATATCCAGTTTTTAAATGTATATTGCCTATGAGAACAATTCATTCACAGCAAAGCTTGAGCTCACTGTCAAAACACTGTTGTGTACTGCACCCCACACACTCAATACATATTTATGTATTGTCAAATGTAAAAAAAACAATGCAGAAAGAGCAAGATAAAAATTTCAATTACTTTTGAAAAAGTCCACGGTGAGTATGGTCACTACAACGGAGCCACATACATTGTGATCCATATAACTGTGTATGACTCAATACCATAATATTTTTAATACAATAAGTTCCAGTGCTCTGTTCTAAACACCATCAAAGTTGAACATGAATGCAGCTATTCATCAATTTAAACAAATATCTGATAGAAATAACAGGAAAGGGGCAATGAGAACAGAGATAGACTTGTGAGAAAATTAGAGGCATTTCAATTTACCGATGAGTATGTTCCTGTATGCCACCGTGGCCGGCACCTTTGAGTATTGCAAGTGGTGGAATTCTCTGGTTTCCTATGGTCACACCGGCTGTCTGATACAGTTTGGCCGTTTCGCCTCCTGCACTTTACAACCCTTGATTGGACTCCTCCATCACAAGTTCTGGAGCACTGTAGACACAGAGAAAGAAGGAAAAACAATTAGATCAAACACATAATCGCTTTTAACGATGAGGATTCGTAGCATTTCATGAAAACAAGATTCCCTGTTTTTTACTTAATAGAGTTTCCCACTTCCAGCATCTTTGAAAAAAGGTAATTTTACACTTTTTTACACTAAGAGCTACCATAGGCAATCATCTAGTAGAAACTTTATTTAGACTAGAGATTGAATAATAATTCTATCAGGAGAAAAGGGAACTCATTTTCCAGGGTTCCCCTGATTTCAAAGATAGGTTGAAGCCATGCGGCTGAACATGCATGCGGCTGAACATGCATGCCGGTATTCGCATTAAAAGAAAATAAATTTGCACATTATCTGTACATACTATTGAATAGAGTTGGGGTTTTTTACACATCAGGTATCAAATCAAATCTAGGAGAGAATGAAATCCTAAGCCTTAAAAGAGTATATTACCTTGATTATATTTCTTTCAAATATAATTGTAATATTTATAAACCATAGCAACCAAACAAATATTTATAAAATAACTGATGAACTACATAATTTTTTTGCAACCTTTCGACCTTGCATGGCTCTGGGCATAACAAGGGCCTTGATCACGGGTATGTCTACATCAGCTCAAAATTGCCAAATAGCCTACTATTTCTGACTTGGGAAATAATCCTGAAGTTACAAATCGCGTCTTTATCAGCTCGAGACTCGACCTCGAGAAATTAGCTTGAGATATTTTGCTCAGCGTTCGCGCATAGTGAGAGTCTTCGGGCTAGTGAAGACGCACTGGACAAATAGCGGGGTATTTTGCAAACTAGCCCAAGATATCTTGGGATGATTATCTCGTCCAAATATCCCGCTAATTGCAACTTCGGGCTGATGAAGGCGCAAATTAACTGGATAATTTGCGAGCGGGATAGTTAAAATAGCAGGATATTTGGCAATCTCGAGCTGATGAAGACAGGCCAACAGGTACTTTAAGTCAACCAACGGCCTTCCTCTATGACCACATGGAAATCCCCCCTGCCCTTCCCCTCCCCTCCTCTCAGTTCCTCCACCCTAACAAACTCACCTGACCCCATTCTCCGTAGTCCCAGGAGGGGCAGGGCTCCACCTCACAAGACTCGGCTTCAGTTGGTCTGGAGGTCTGATCACAGTACGATGATATCCTGTTGTTGTCATCCAGGCATTCCACCCTGCGTTGCCTCGACCCCTCACCACACGAAACACTGCACTGTTGGTGTGTAAATTAGAGCAGTACAACAGATTAAAGATGGATACTGTGGATAATGTCTTTCAAGAGAAGTTCTGCATGGACTAAGCAACTAAAATACAATTAATGTCTTGGATAGATTTTCATCATTATAACTTTTTATATGTCACAATGTAATATCTACCCTTGTGTATTTCCATAAATTTTTTTTTAAATCAGTTCTTCTTTTTTTATTCTAATTTTCTTCCAAATTACTGCTACTTATTATGGATGGAACAATTTCTTCACATGTTTATCATTATGGCTGGACATGGTTTATTATGCATTGAAACAATAATAAATTAAAAGTACTAATAGTTGCCATATTTCCACATCAAAAGCAGTTTTATCGACAAAATATGGCACATCAAAAGCTATTTATAGAACTAAAATGAACTCTATGTCATACTGAGGACATCACCGTAGGAAAGGATAACATTTCATTAATAAAATGGAACTTGAGAGAGACATTTAGTACTCACTGGACTCCATGTGCTTGTCCTCCAGCTGTGCCTTGCACCAATCCTATTGTCATAATTGTCATGTAAAGTGCGCCCTCTAGGTCTATTGGTAGGACAATCTTGGCCATTGCAGGAGTGTTCTCTGCTTGGTTTGATCTCAGGATCACACTCGGCATTGGATGTAATCGTGTCGTCGTTGTAAACACAGGCAACGTAACGCGTCGTCACTCCTTCCCCACAGGAGACTGGACACTATTGATAAGAAGCAAGAACATTTTTCGATCAGGAAACTGATGTAACATCTAGAAAAAATTAAACTGCTCAATCCCAAAAGTCATCAGGGAAAATTTTGCACACAATAAGTCAATAACATATATTTTTTTAACGAATGTTACAACATATTAACAACTTTGCTAATTTCACATCTTTTCTAAAGGGGAAACAGCAATTTTACAAAACACCATTGCATTCTTTTAAACACAACGTCTTTCTTCTATTTTTCTTTTTCTTTTCTAAAATTAAATGCTTTATGTGGGAGAGGGGAGGTTCAATAAAGTAAGTCAAAATCATAAGGCCAAAAAGGAGAAATTTTAGCAACATTTAACCTTCTAGTTTTCAGTCAATGGGATGATTGGATTTTATATCCTGTGTGATAAAAAACTTCATTAACACCTACAGAAAGAGGTAGAGGAAAAGGGAGCGAAATTTAAAAAAAATTGATATACTAAATACATTACCTACTTGGGAATTGGGAAAGATCTTACAGGGAGGCTAAGAATTCACAAAAAGTTATCCTGAATCCTCCCTGAATATTCAAAAGTACTTTTGTATAACATCAAATGCTAATCTTAGAAATCCATTTTTAGAGAACTCACCTCTCTCCAGTCCCCTGTCCTCCAATGGGGGCAAGACTTGAGCTCACACATCTCCATGGACAGAGGTCGAAGGTCAGGGTCACAGTCTGTGTTGTCAATGTTGCCATAGCCGTCACGGCAACTCACATATCTTTCCCTGATGCCCGGTCCACAAGTCATCGAACACTGGACAAAAAAAAGAGGAGAAAAAGACATATTTTTATTTTCAAAATTTTGTCTCGCTGATGATTTTTCAACTTGAATTTATCTTTAGGTTGTGGTAGCAAAACATCACTCCTCCAGCTTAAATTCCATTTCTTTAGTATCTATAATTTATGGAATGTAGGTACAGTATTTTCTTCATTTAAGGAGTACATCTATGTTTCTGGAGATGTCCTTAACCATTAATTCAGACCACCATGGGTCGGGAAGTAAGTCCCTTGACAACGGGTGACTTGATTATCTTTTTAATAATCTTTAAAATTAAGATTTAATTCAATTTAAACCAAAAATTTTCAATTTGAATTAACCTTTTTAAACTTACATCTTCATCTTCCAACAGCAAACTGTTTTAAGCTGAATTTTTGCACAACCACTGACTTTATAGTTAATTACATTCGTTCCTGTTTGCTAATTCTGACAGCGGAATGAAACCATCAGATATTTCTTGTATATTTCTTATCTCCTGTAATTTACAAGCTTGCCATAATATGCGGTGTCACACCGAAAAATCCTTGAAAAATCCCTTGAAAAATCCTTTCAAGGGAGAATTTTCTTGCTTAATTAGAGGATTTTTAATGGGATAATTGATGACAGACAGCAATTAAGAGGATAACTAAAATCCGGATTTTTGGCCTCTGTGTGACACTGCCTAATTACACACCTGCTTAATGTACATTCAAATCTTTGGTCTTGTAACTTTCATTTTTAAGGATGTCATATGCAATATACAAAATGTTTGTTCCCTATGAAACTTACTGGTGTCCATGCTCCTGTTCTCCATTGGCTCCTGAAGATCCTCCTCCTGGCTGCAGGAGAAATACCAGGATTCCCCCTGTCCACAATCTCATCAAACACTGGCATGGTGATGATCTCTCTGCTGGGCGGAGTCGTAGCTTGGGTGGTAGTAGGAGCGACGGTGGTGGTGGTGGGGATGGGGCAATCAGGGAGCTTGCACTCCTGTTCTACGATGGGCTTTGCCCCAGCGCTGCATTCTGATTCATCCAGCCATTGGCCGTCGAAAGTTCGACAGCCGACGGTTCGCCGCTGGTATCCGCTGCCACAGGTTACAGAGCACTGCATTGAAATATGGAAACAGGTTGTGCACTTAGCCCAGTAACCAAACAACCAATCGCATCTCTCCCAAAATTGAGATCCTGAAATACCTCCTTAATTTACCCCAATATATAAAGTAACATTTTAAACAGGCTCTCTGACATTTCAAATTTTATATATTTTTGTACTGCTTTGATTATGTGGGTGATATTTGGTGTCATAATATGCAGCAGAAATATGAAGGAAAAACAAATTAGAATTTCTTCAAAGAACTTCCAGCGATGTTCTTTCTCAGTCCTAATCCCTTCTTTGAGTGTGAAGATTTGCCATATATTAACTTCCAAGGATTAAGTTTCTAGATGTGATTCTTGGAATAATATCAAAATTAAGTATAACATATATTCTTAAAGATGAAGTTGAGTTCTGGTCATGCGATTGCATTGTGAAAGAAACGGTGTGGAATCGACCAGAAAAGGTTGATCATCTAGCATATAAGAATTTGTGTGTATTGCAAGGTTCTGGAATCATCAAAATGATAAGAAATTGGTCAAGTCTTGTTTAAGTTACAAACACTGTACACAGAAAGATGTATATGGGACTACACGAACACGTGGATTAAAAAACCTACCCCCGAGTTTTACGATGTACATGACATATTTAGAATATGGAGGCATTTGAAGAGCCATGCTTTTCAGGGAACATGTCTTATCTGATGTTCTTCCATACTTGCATAATAAGAATGATTTTCACCTCTTCCCAGAACTCAACCTTCTCTTTAAGACAGTGCAAGTGCAAGTAACTCTTTCCTTTCTCTAAGGAAGAAAAATTCCAACAGACCGATTTACAACATTATAGGTTCTTAGGCAGGATTTGCTATCCAGATTCTTAGATTCATGTTTACATTTAAGCATGACATATGTTCTATACATATCAACTTGTCATTGGTTAAAACAAAGAGTAAGCCCATAACATTCAGATTTCTGAGAAGAATTTGCCATCAAAGGCTTAAACAGTGATAAAACCTCTCTGGACATTCTTTTAAAGCATTGCTATTTTTTTAAATCCTCACCGATTCCCATTGTCCAGGTGCCCAGTGAGGGCAGCGTTTCTGCTCACATCTCTGTCTGGCATCAGGTTTTGTGAGGCTGTCACAGAGCCTTGAATCTACCTTGGTTCCTTCCTGATAGCAAGCAACCTCTCTCAGTTCTTCACCTACACCACATGTCACTGAACACTGACAAGAATACAAGAGAGAAAATGGTGAGGATCTTGGAAAACTGACAAATTTGAAAGTTGCCCGACGCACATAGAATTCAAAAGAAAAAAAAATCATCTGGTAAGAGCCCAACAAACATCAACTACATACCATACTTTTAAACACCGCTAACACCCTTCTGGCCTAAAATAGTTTGGAAAGTACCCAGAGTATAGATTATTCGAAGCATGAACTGCAATGGCAGGCATACATGAATCAGCATAACTGCTTCTGATTCCATATTCAGTGGATTTCCTGACATAGCAACTGGTGATTAAGTCATAAAAATGCAATGTAGTATCATCACATTAAGTGAGTCTTGGCAAGTTGTGTACTCTATTATGCATATAGGTAATATTTTATTTTATTTTCAAGTATTACATGTGGACAAGATAGGAAAGAATGAACAAGAAATATCAAGTGCAAGAGGCAGTAAATCCCATATATATATCTTTTGATTTAATCTTAATAAGTAAGCTGCTCTTTGTAATGGTCTTGATCTTTATCTTCTGCGCTGTGCACTTGTCACATTGTAACTATGTTTCCAAGTAAACACTATTAATTTTTCAAATATCTTCTTGAATTACTCTGTAACAACAGTATGCACAGATTTTTTTATTCAAATCCTATTTAAATTATGAACAGGACTTACTGCACTCCATTCTAGCGCTGACCACTCTGGGCATCCGTGCGTGCTACAGTCCTCTACTGTGTGAAGTAACGAATGATCACAGTATCTGTTATCCACGATGTAGCCCTCACCGTAACGACACGATGCCCCCCTGGATCTTGTGCCTGTATTGCATGATCTTGAACACTGTCAAAAAAGCGAACAGAGAGGGCGGTAAATTTTTAATTGAAAGGTCTACAGATACGTCAAAAGTTAATTGGAAACCCTGGTCAATCAAGATATGTATAATCATTGAGGGTCTATTTAATATCTCTTACTCAAATGATGTGGTAACTACCTAAAATAAATCAATCATACAAGATACCTGTATTCAAAATATGTCACTTATCTTTAAATAAAGATACCAATCAATGAAAATGCATAAGGGACTACACAGTGTTTTCTTTTAATCTCATCAATATAAACATTTAAGAGGTTTAATTTCAGTAAGATTGATTATTACTGCCTAACAAGTGAACAAGGCCTAAATCAAATATGTCTATCTAGGATATGAAACTCTATGAAACAAGAGAGAGATAATTAAATGATAATAATGCAATATTGATTGTTGAAGTAAGACATGAAAGGAACATCCCTTATCCTTGTTTATCTTTTGAGTCCAGTACTGTAAAACATCCAAACAAATTAAAAATGTCACAACCCCACTTCTCCATCTTCCTGAATGAAAATGCAAATATATCCTCTAATAACAGTAGCATTATTGTCATGCAACTAGATACACATGTACAGTCAAATCTATTTTAATGACCACCTGCCTATACAAAGACCACATTTTTTGTTTCCCTTAAAGGTAAAGACCAGTATTGGAAACGCCCCAATTTCAAAAAATTAAATGGAAGCTCTCATTACCAATCATGTGAAAGAATATGTTTTGACTAATACATGATGATAAAAAATTGGCCGGGAAACCGCCTACTAATTCATATATTTGGTAAATTTGTTTCTCTCATGGTCTGTGAGAGATATAGGGTAGTCCCATATACATCTTTCTGTGTATAGTGCTTTAACTTAATGAAGAATGGGCCAATTTCTTATCATTTTGATGATTCCAGAACCTTGCAGATGCTAGATGCTAGATGATCAACCTTTTCTGATCGATTCCACAATGTTTCTTTCACAATGCAATCGCATGACCATAACTGGTCTTTACCTTTAAAAAATGTAGTAAAGAAACCTGTACACGAACAACACCTATCTGTAAAAACACCTTTCTTGACTCCCTTGGGTGGTCTTTATAGACAGGTTTCACTCATGTACTTACCTGTGACCATAACGAATACTCCCATCTGTAGCGACTGGTTCTGCATGAATCCTGGCAATCGATCGTCTCAGGGGGGCGCTCTGCAGCATTACAGTAAACATCCGTAACCTGAGAGTATTCTTCTCCTTTTCTCTTCTTTTTGATGCATTTGATCAATCTGGTTTTCTTACACTGTTCGTTGCATTCAGATTCTCTCATGACGTGCCATCTAATGAGGGGAAAGAAAAAAAATATCCGCAGTGATGATTATTATAACAGTTACTATTCAAAGGGCAATTCAACTTCATTATGAATTGCTAAGATAAACTAGAAAGAAAATAAAGTAAAGCACAATAGACTAAGAATGATTTGAATTTGAAAGGCAAGATTTGAATATATATAAAACTTTTTGGAACTTTCATTTTCTACATTTTGGTTTTGAAAGACTTGAGGATTTTGTATAAATCTAATGATGTTTTTTGCTTTTTTAATATTGTTATTATTATTATTAGTAAAGGCAAAATACAAGCAAATTATGCATCAAAATATTAAAACAAATACATGCAGTAAAACTACTTTCTTCCCCCCACCAGTTCCAAGTACAAGTACAGGCGAATAAACATGAGGAAATAAAAAATAAAAAATAAAAAAAAAACTACTTTCTGGACAAATACAGCATCATCATATTTCAGGTGTCCCAATTTGCCTTATTACAAATACTGATAAGGTTTTTATATATATTGTTTTATTCTCTAAATCAATATTTATTTCAAGAATTAAGGTATAATCAGCATTATATCTGCTTTGAAGATTCAAATCAAATTTGAGCTTCATGACAACATAACCTTTCACTAAACAAGATCACAAGCGCACTACACTTACAAAGGTTTTATTCAATGTTTTAAACCATGATTTCTTTCAACTTTTTTTGTAAATTCTGGGGAAAATGAAACAAATTTCTTACCGAACTATACATCTTGTATTGCATTCTTCTTCAATAGGATCAGTGGGCCTTGGGCCTTCACACATGGAGTCATCTACTACTCTGTTATCATTAGCATCCATGCATCGGATAACCCTTCGCTTCATACCTACAAAGATATAAGCAAGGGAGAGAAGGTAAATACAGGATGAAGTGGATATATAACCTTGCCAGAAGATGTCTTAAATTTTGACGATATTCTTCAATCAACCTTTACTTTTCTGTACATTTCTTTACTATGATCCAACATCTGCTCTAGATTCTATTTCTTAAAAGAGATAGGATTAGGGTTAGGGTTACCAACGGGTAGACTTAGGGTTAGGAATGATATTAGGTTGTGATTGGTCCAAGGTAGAGGACTTTGGTTACTACAAGAAATTGCCCACAGAGCAGTTATCCCTGAAGCATATGGCGTATAAACTTTCCTAAACACTGTACCTCCTTTCTATTACTCTTGACATATTTCCTTTGAGTATACAGAGTCAAAACTTAATAAACTATCTAACATTAATCAGTACAAAGCATTGACTGGTCCTATCGTTTTTAAATTCTTTTTCTCTCAAACACATTCAATCCTATAGCCGATGTCACAGTAGTGAATATACAGAATAATCCTTGTTCCTTCTATATTTTCTGAAAATACAACTCTTATACTGCTGTAAGTTTGAAATCCTCTCTTTAAAAAGTTTGACACAACCTACACAGACGTTTTCGACTAGTCATAATAAATTAATTTGTGTGCTTTTGTTCCCATAGCAACCTACTGCCACATCATAAACTAAATAAATAAAATAAATTGGTGATGATAAGAATGTACGTTATTTAGCTGATCTTGTACATGTACATACCATAACAGTCTCTATCACACTCTGTCCATGGCCCCGATCGATCCCATAAATAGATCGGAAAGTTCGTGTGTGGCACGTTGAAGGAATACGACACATTGGGTGGATTTAAATCACCTACAGATAAAATCTAGGTAAAAAGATAAATCAATCATTGTAAAATCATTAATTCACAGTTTTTACTTGAATGCATGTGTATTAATGTAACCATCAATTCATTGCTTTGGTTTAAATCTTTCATAAAACATAGTTCGGATAGCAATTGCTAAAATTCTACAATTAATTTGCTAACAACCAACAAAATGTATTCATTTTTTTGTTTTGCAAAACAAGGGTCTGTTGTTCAAATGGAACAGTTGTTCTAGCCACTTGAAGGTAATGTAACCATTATATCAAAATGTACTTAAATTGGCAGACATTAGCGGACAACAATCAATCTTGTAACGATTCAATAACTACAATTATCAAATCATCATGTCAGTCTATTTGGACTTATATTGCAAACAAAACAAATCATATTTTTCTTTCAATGCTAAAGAATCAAGAGTTTTTTTGTTTTTTTTGTATTATCAGTGTTTCATTCTTTTTGAGAATATTAACGTCATTTCAGACTGGTTACCAAATATACTCACATATAAATTAATTGCCCTCTGTATTTTGTCGTTGCTAATGATGGTCTCTACCGCTCTGCTTGAACCGCTATATTGTAGTACAGTTTTGTTTATATGGATCTCTCTGGCATACATGCTGACTATAAAATTACCATTGAGAATAAATTGATCCTGGTCATTGGATAAGGCTGTAGAGAAAAAAATAAAAAATAATTGAAATTAGTACGGTTTCGTTAAATCATACAAAAATATTTTACCAATTACCAGTAGTATCAATTGATATGAAGGCATAGTGATACTTCATGACATATCTACATCATGCAAATCTTAGGATATCTACCTCTTAGAGATTAGTAGGTTAACTGCATTCAGGGTCTCTTTGCAATGTTCCATATTTTCAAATGCACCCAAATATTGTCCAACTAATTAAATATTTTGCTAAATCATAACTGTATAAAAACAGGGCACAACGTTTTAAATTATATGTCAATTACAATATTGTTTTGTTTCACTTACCAAGATAATTATCATCCTCAGCTCTGCCATTAAATGAATACTGTTTTATTTCAATTTGTGTTGATCCTGATGGTATAGTGATGATTTTTGTATATCCTGAAATAGAGAGAGAGAGAAAAGAGAAATATGAGATTAATCTACACAAGATCAGTACTTAATATGGTATATAAAATTAGAGGATTACAAATTATCATTTTTGTCTTCAATTAGGTGTTTATTGTTCAACATCATCATCATTTAGCATTCATCTTTTTTCCCACCTATGAGGTTGGACATTTATTTTTTTGGAATAAACGGGACATTTGTCCGCCACATCATCACAGAGACATTACCGCTTCAGCCAGCTTGAAGAGCCAATACCTATAGTGATAACAACTTTTAAAATTTCATAACTTTCTCATATTTTGTCTGATTTCATTCAAAATTTAACCAGTCTACTTCTCTGATTTTTCTGCTTTCCTCTAGAGTAGTTTGCTATGAAAGTTGGATTTCCCTTTAACCCATAGCCTATAGGCACCGACTTGTTCCTGTACTATGCCTGTGGGAATAACAGAACACAGTAGTCGGCGGATTAATTGTTGATGACCTACCATGTCTGACGTGATTATACGTTCTTCTCTCCCTCCTACATGCAGAGTTATCTCCCCCACACACTCCGCATTCATCTCGCTTGGCGTTAGAGCTCAATACATGGTCACAACCGGCTTGCTGAAATTATTGGAATAGGGTACATCAAAATGTTGTCATTAAGGTGCTATTTAAATAAAAGTGTATTCATTCTATTTTCTTTTTCATTCATTTCTTCGACTTTATATACTGTATGTAATTGTAAAAGATCAATATTTAAATTTAAAGAGAAGGTTGAGTTCTGGGAAGAGGTGAAAAATAATTTGTGAGCATTACTCATTCTTATTATGCAAGTGTGGAAGAACATCAGATAAGACATGTTCCCTGAAAAGCATGGCTCTTCAAATGCCTTCATATTCTAAATATGCATGTAACATCGTAAAAATCGGGGGCCGGCTTTTTACGCCACGTGTTCGTGTAGTCCCATATACATCTTTCTGTGCAAGTGTTTGTAACTTTACCAAGACTTGGCCAAATTTCTTATCATTTTGATGATTCCAGAACCTTGCAATACACACAAATTCTTATATGCTAGATGATCAACCTTTTCTGGTCGATTCCACACCGTTTCCATTACAATGCAATCGCATGACCAGAACTCAACTTCATCTTTAAGTTTGTGCTATATAAAAAAGAATTATATCTATGTAAGTTATTCAACTACTTGTTATACACAAACATGATGTAAAATGGCATTTAGTGGATATTATCATCTCCTAAAGACATAATAATAACTTTTACAACGTAAGTGACAATGTATTTGTTGAATACTCATTTCAACAAATTAATTGAAAAGCTCGGTTTCATTTAGAATGATTAGCAGACTTTCCAAATATTCCACCTAAATAATAAACATTTTTCATTCATAAGAGGACAAAAAGGATGAAAAAACAGAAATATCACAATTTCTTGGGAAAGTAAATTTGTTACAAATCGATCAAACAAGTGATTAAAATCAAAATGAATTTGAGTGTACAAAGAGTGAACATAGATTTTGGCATCAAAATACTTCTCAACCAAAACTTATGAAAATAGACCTGCATACAAAATAAAAGTAGTCCGCTAGGAAAAACTTACCCTGCACTGTCCTTGTACACATATATCATCATTATCAGGGTCACACTTAGTCCCATCCCTAACCTTTTTCTTCAGTTCATAGTACGCGCTGGAATGACTAACACGGCAGTAAAGTTTACATCTGTCATGGAGTTGAACTGCAAAGAAAAGAAAAGAAAGAAAATAGATTATATCACTTGATGGAACTGACTTCATATTATTTACGATCAGTATTTTTTGAAGAAGAAAATTGATATTTCTGACAATGGGGGGGGGGGGGTATGAAATGATTTATATCATTGAGGAGTAAAGAAGATATTCTGTGATTGCCTATGTGAGCTGTTTAACATTAAATCTGTAGTGCCTCCAAATAGTGGAGAAATCCAAGTCTTAAAGGTACTATGTCCCTTTTGCAGCAAACCTCAAATGTTGTAGAACTTTGCAGGAATTATGAATATGTCATGTATGTCCTATCTGTGAAATTTAAACGTTAGCAGTGTCCTCACATTCAAATTATGCAAGGGAACCCATTTACTTGCTAGACTTCACTGTCAGACACTATTGAGTGACTGACTGGCTTTTTTTCTTCTTTGGTAATGACATACACGAAAAGAGTTATAAAGGGTACATGAGCATTTGCCTACATCAATAACCCACTTCCTGTGATGGCCAAGATTAATAAACTGATTGAATCTTGGCGCAGCATAAAACGTATGACCATTCGGTACAATTGTCTGAAAATCAAGACTATTACTTTTGGGCTCTATAGCCCTAAAGTCGATTTGACAACTAATAGTCGTTATTTTCCCACTTGAAGACATTTCCAAGCCCCACCTTTTTAGGGAAGTTCTAAATTAGTATTATCTTTCAAATGCTGTTTGAATTTAACTTTTTCATTTTTTTGGCCTGCAAATGGAACATAGTACCTTTAATAGACAAAGGGGAAAAAGGAGCCAGAACAAACAAAATCCCTTAGTCATCGCATTCAATCTCCTACAGGGACATCATTTGAACAACCATGAAAATATATATATATCAGCTTGTGCTACGAGCAACAAAAATAGAAATCTAGGAAAACTACTTTTGCAACATATGAAACTTGTCTCTTGGCGGCCCTCTATTCAATCCATGTCTACATCACTTTTATGATGACCTTTATGACCTTTACCAAGAGGTCACAAACACATCTAAATTGTTCTCTAGAGCAGCAGTATTGGATGTTTCTGTCAACAAGGAAACAATTCTTCCAAAATTACTTGTTTCCTTTTTTTTTCTTTTTTCTATATTTGGTATGCCCACACATATTCAATAGTAAACAAATGCAGCAAAGTATGAAAATCAGTGACTTTTACTAAGGACCCTTGGTACGAGTAACCCATTACAAAAGACACCTGTTCAGTTCAGGCTCAGATTGCACTAGGGGTTCATTCAGACAACTACATATTTATAGTGTACACTGACCTTCTACCGAATCAATGCTTATGTCTCTTTAGATTTCAATTTTTTTTGTCTGATTCTGCCCGACTTCAGTCCTATACTTGATTTATTCCTCAAAATCTATATTCCATTTGGATTCTATTCTATATTCTATCTAGGTGGATTTCATATAATTTTTTCTTTAATTTCATATAACTTTATATCCTTTCATTTACATTTCATCTTCATTTAATTCATTTTCATAAAATTTCAGAGTTCTGTCATTGAGTTGCACAAAATGAAAGTTATCTTCTTCCAAATCACTTTACATACTGTATCGACCTGAGAAAAACATACATTCAAATAGAGAGCTTATACTTATACTAATACTAATTAGTACTACTACTGATAATTAATAATAATGCTTAAATACTTAGATATCCAAACAAATAGTTGAACTGTCACTTCATCAAGCTACAAATGCATATCCACAAATTCTCTTAACATATGAATGCAGCCTCCTTTTACACTCTCCACTCTACATTAGCGAAGTGTGAAAAGCCTCGTCAGACATGCCACACAAGACATGCTCCGCTCTTTTCAGTTCAACAGCCCCCACAGGACGGGAGAAAACAAGTCTGCTCAATGCAAACCCGTTCTTGAGGAGGTGAAGATGTTGATGCCAAGGTTTAATGACATGTAACACATGTTTTCCGCTATGGTTTCATCAATTGGTTGGGCCTCCCTCATAGTGGATGTGTTTGACGATTCCAATTCCCATAACACTCTTTGACTTTCCAAATCCATTTCCGGTTTCTTCTCTTCAATATTTGTCTTGTTTTGTTAGGTGTGTGGCTATTTGACCGTCTTTTGGAAACAATACATGTGGAAGTTCTACATCTTGACAAGGAAGAAATATTAGCTCCCAGGATGATTCAGGTGAAATCTGTGCCCTGTACGACATGAGCCTATAGTCCCTCTACATCTATGTCATCCAGTCACTTGATATGACCATTGACTAGTGTTCCTTTCTGGCATTGCTACATCCTTTGTTTGGAGCCATAGGGGCATTAACTCTGTGTTCAAATATATGAGATTAATAATGCCCTTTTAGCTCCAAACAGATGATATAATAAGCATTTATGAATTTTCCAGCAGTAACTGGCAGAGTCATAGAGTGGTGAAGTGTGACGTCATCAAAAATCTATTTTTAGAATTTCTCAATTTTTTCTTCATATTCCGAAAGAACATCAAAAATAATGTCCAAATGTCGAGAACCAATTGAGTATGTTAAGTATTGGTTGAGATATGACCATCTGAATGAATATATGTCCTATGGGAACTCAGTGTTATATGCTCTGGCTCCTAACCATTAGGAGCCAGAGCATATAACACTGAGTTCCTATGGGGAGTATATTTATTTAGATGGTCATATCTCAGCCAATACTTAACATACTCAATTGATTTTCGACATTTGGACATCATTTTTCATGTTCTTTCGGAATATGAAGAAAAAAATTGAGAAATTCTAAAAATAGATTTTTATGACGTCACAGCTTCGGTACTCTATGTCCCCTAGGCTTACATTATTTATAAAATTGCCCTGAAGAAGAATCATTAGCTGTCCAGGTCAGGGAGAAATTATGAACCACTTAAATCGTTTCCAAGACTCTCAAACCATAACGTAATTGACTAATCATTGTGAAGGCCATTCTTAAGAAATTGTCAAGTTTCTAACAAGATAGGCCATTGTAATCCCATGCATCATGCTCTAGACTATAGCATCATTGTACTCGCACACCAATCCCTGACTAATCCCTGACTAATCCCATAGAGACGGTTAGCTCCTAAGTGTCAAGGATGATATGACGGGCAAGATTGATCACCTAAACTATTTAAGGCAACTTAATCCTAGTCCTTTGTTCACAGTGTCAAGACCAATCACCTTAATTTCTACACTGTAATTACTACTACAGAACCTACAACCATGATCCTGCCTCTATGATGTACTATAATGACATGGCTGTCTGGATAGATGTACAGTCGAGGCTACTCTAACTGTATAAAAACTCCCATTATTAAAGACAGAACCTACACCAGTAAATGGCCTATAGTGAAATCATCTACTCATATCCCAAATATATTCCTTGACAAGTTATACCATGTCATATGTATGATTGCATTACTTGACAGAACATCTAAAATACTCCTTTTAAAAATACCTAATTCATTCATTTTCCATAGACAAGGAATAAAAGAGAAGATTGTTCTGTAAAATGAAGTTACAGAGGCATTTTTACGTGATATCAAATATTCAAAGAATATAAGGAAAATTACCATCATTTCAGCTTGTAATATTTTGTTATGAAACAGGAAAAAATGTGTTTTCTCGTTAAATTTGACATAACATATCCTCTATGTCAATAACCTTCCTAGCGTTCCAGAAAGACTAAAATCAGCCATTCTCAGTAAAAACAGGTAGTACACTATTTCAATTCTGGGGCATGTTGTGCTGCCTTAGGCACGGGAAGGGGGTTAAGATAATGTGTCCTCAGTAGAACATACGCAGCACATAACCCGTCAATCAAACATACCCAATTAGGAGTAATCTCCGAAAACCATAAAAGCTTCCTGAGACGAAAGTTGATCACACCCTAACAAAATGTGTCATTGTCCTTGCGATTGTTGCCGAGGATCATCTCCAAACAAAAGAGGAAAACACTGCGACGACGTCATGAAAGGAAGGGGCCTAGCTAGCTCTCCTTTCAACAGTTTGGTGTTTGCTGAAACATATGCCATGATGTACAAAATTCACACTATCATTGTGGAATGAGACACAGACTTCTCTTGTAGAAGAGTGACAATGGATCATTTGCTAAAATCAGTTGCAAATTTCCAAAACCAACAAAGAAATCAGGACATAATTTTAAATGAACGGTAAAAGGTTAATTTGAAATTTCGTTAATCAGAAACCTTAAGATTTCCCATATTCGATTTAACTTATGATGATATCCCCAAATTTTGCCCTCCTCAAGCCATGAACAGTTTTAAGAAGATGATTATCCTACAATGTGATATAAAATAGGGGAAAAGCTTTGGAATTCCGAACAGGCTTCAACTGATGTTGTATGTCATCTTCTTGTTTTATCAAACATTCAATTCTCTTTCCATTAAATAATTGTGACCATGTACAGCTTACATTCAACAAAACACCTTCTGCTCTAAATTCTTTCAAAAACTCCAGTCACATCAACAAAACCGACACCAGACCAACACCAGAATGATCAAACAATTAAGTTATCAAGTATCAAGATTTTGTTGGTCAATATGGAGTCGGTTTGGCAGTGTGACTGAAGTGATAACTGATGCGATCTCTCACCTCCTTCATATTTAGGTACCCATCTCACGTTTGGAGGAACTCCATTGATTGGTGGATTGCTCCCATTGAACTCTGAGCACTGCTTCTCCCTGAAATCTTGGGAACCCTCTGGGCAATCCTAAAGGAAAAAGTAGGAGAAACAATGTTAATGAATGCAGAAAATATTTTTTAAATTATTTTAAAATGTATGTATCTTTAAAGGGATCGTTTAACAATGTTAAATCTGAGATACACGGCCCTACGTGTTATCAGTGTCTGTGATATGGTGTAATATTGAAGCCCTAAAAAAATTGCGCTTCAAAATGATCAAGAAGTGCCTCAAAAAAGTAAAAATCTTTGAGTGACCGGTTTTACCATACTCATTTTCCCAAATGGACTGTAGTGTAATGAAAACCGTCAGGCGAACGGTTTTCAAAATTTGTAATTTCAATCATAAATATGTTGATAATCAGACAGGCAATCGGCTTGTAGAAGTAATGGGGTTCCTGACTGACCTAAAGGTTTATAATTATCATTGCATCATGAGCTAAATCCAGAATTTTATTTCAGAATCTGAGACAAAGTTACCGGATCCCTTTAATAAGCACAACTTTACATTGTGTTCCAAAATCGCATGCATGACTGAGTTATTATTCAAAAGTAAAGTGTGTCCTGTAATGTTTTTATCTCTATTATCAGTATTTCAGGAAACAAAGATAAAGGATTTACTGCTTTGTGATTTGATCATAACTGAATGAATTTTAATGTCAACCTAAAAGAGTAATTTCCAATTCAGATAACATTTTCATAAGATTTCAATACAAATTTGTTATACTAATTCTGACAGACTCATAACCATATACCTGTGTGCTACAAGACCTGAACCGAAGCCTTCGTCCAATGCAGTATTTCCCTCCATTCCCTGGGGCGGGGTTATCACAGTTCCTCATGGCCTCTTTGACCCCGCCCCCACAAGTCCTGGAGCACTCGCTGTACTCGCCCCACTTGCCCCACTGGCCATCGATCACCTCTGTGTGTTGCTCCTTTTCTCGACACTCGCCATGGGAGCACCACTAATGGAAGAAAAGAAAAGAAAAGAAAAGAGGGCATGACTTTTTCATTCAGCTTCTTCTTCTTCTTCTTCTTCTTCTTCAGGATAATCTGCCTCCTTCACTGCTGAAAATTCTTGCAGATAACTGTATTTTCAAAGGCAAATCTTCCAGTCTTAATTCCATGTTTTGAAGAGCTTCAAAAAGAGATTTAAACAGTCTGGAAAACTAATATCACTTAATAGTAAAGATTTACGAGACAAAAATAAATGTTGATGACCTTCATAATCAAACAATAAAAAACAATTGAGTTTATAAAAAAGTACTTTCTTTTTTGTACAACTTGATTAATTTTGAAGAATGAGTAAATTATCATTTCTTTAAGGTGCAATATTTTCATTCACACTGATAACAAAATAGATGCTTAATCTGCACATTAAACATACATTTTGATGGTAAGTTCATGATCTAGATGCAGAATGATAAGAGATAATTTCAAGGTTGCTTTACTTCACCTACAACTCAATGTCAAGCTCAAGACTTCGTAATCAGACATGAAACAGATCATTACATTTGCTATCATTGAAACCCATCAAACTTTCACTGAGCTCAATGCCGTATTAAACATCATGCAAGATTATATCAAAAGTACGAATAATGTTTGACATGCCCAACAAACAGTTCTCACACTGTTTCACATTGCTACACTTGAACCCCTAAAAAGATCAAAGTTTAAATCAAGAGCCAACGTCCCATGAGCCTCTGCTGGTCACAGCTGATTTGACGCAGACAATTGCTCCTCTATCTTTCGGAAACATCCATCTGGGAGAGGTCCCCTTAGGACCATGCTCTTTGACTATTAAGTGATGGTCCTATTTGATGGCAAATTAACATTCTCACTGTTTTAATGGTATCTTCATCATCCATTTACAATGGTAATGGAACACTGGAGGGCAGGGATCACGAGTGACAGATTTGCTGGGGTTGAAGGATACACAATTTTCATATTTTTCAGTCTCTTTAGATACGAGGTCATTCGTGACTTAAGTGCTCCCTAAAATGTATAGATGTTAATGACAATTAGAATTGTTCTAAATAATGATTTTAACAAACTTGCCCTTAAAAATGAATTAGTGCCATATAACAAATATTCTTGAAACAATTATGCACATTAACTTTTTTTACAACAATCCCAAACCCAAATAAATCATGAATAAATTTTTCAACTTTAGTGACTTTACAACATTACAAATTGATATTATTAAATAATGAATAGTCAAATGACAACTTCAAACACTTGGTTTCAGTTTCCAAAAGTCAAATCAGAGATTGAATGCAAAAAAAAATTGGGTAGAGTGTTCACACTTACATGATGGCTGCCACAGGGGGTACCATCTGCCCATGGCATGTGCTGTGTCCGACATCCAGTCTGAACACCTCTTGAATATCCTGTGCACCATAGCCTTTTACATGTTCTCTGAAATAAATAAAGAATAGAAACATAGTAAGGTATATGCAGTTAACATTATGATTCGTATCTAGCTGCACTGAGTTTGAATGTCTTGAAAAGGATAACAGTGCTGTTAAGTACTAATACTGATCAATGATAATCTGGTCAAATATTGTGATCATTTATGTTTCTTGAATGTTATCTGTTGAGAGCCAGAAAGATGTTAGTTCAATTCTTTAACATAAAGTTATTAACACCTTCTGTCTCTCAACGATATATTTCTGATATCAATACTTTGGTAATTCAATTCTTCTTGAAATAATTGATCATTCTGTCAGCTTGTCAAGGCATGTTTGATACTGACAACTACATCATTACATGCTGCCTGAGAAACATCAACACTGGAAAAAAACATCTCACAAAATTAATTATTCAGTGCCAGCTTAATTAATTAGCCTTTAATCATCTTTGGCAGCTTGCTTTCTTTCGCAATCCAAAAGGAAAGCAGTATAGAGTTCCACCCTTCTCCTGCTTTCAACACCGGTCAGTCATTCATTGCACGCCTTGCTTTCCCAAATTTGACTGTCAGCTCACAAAATTGGGTGAATTACAGTCTTGCCAAGCATAAATACCAAAGAATTGGGTCTGATATGGGTCCGCATTGTCTCTGGATAAATAAGAGGTAAAGTGCCTCTATCATTACTGTCAGTTCAAGTTTGGGATCCTTCCTCTGAATAACTCCACGTTGCTTGAGTCGAGAGAGAGAGAAAAGGGGACTTTTTCCTCATAAATGAGGCAAAATTAATGCCCAACTTGGCCAGATGTCATCTTGTATGCCTTAGGGCTGAGGGAGATTGATTAATGCGCAATTTACTCTGCCATAATTTGGAAACTTAGCTATCTATTCAAAAGTTTTCTCATTTTTTTCCAGGAGAGTGACAGGGAACGAGAGAAAATACCAAGATTACTGGAGATTACAGGAGTGTCAAAAGGTCATTGACCTCAAGCCAATCAGATCCCTGCTGAATTGTGGGTAAGGTCAACCCGGGGTCATCAAATCATTTGTAACCCACAACCCCTGGGAGAGTTCGTGAAACGGTTGCAGCAATTTTCATATTTCCTGAGCTAGAGACATATTTTTGATGGGAAGAGGAAAGAAGTGGTTGGGTACATCCATGTCTCTTGTTTTGCTGAAAAAGTTTTCACCAATGGGATGTTAGAAGAGCTGTATTCTAAACGTCTGCATGTTATAGGCTGCCTGATCAAAACATGAGTGAAAAGTAGCGACAAACGAGCAGATAAGGTCGTAAAATATAAAGTAATCAATTTCAATATATCTGATCAAGCCATGTTATTTTCTGGTTTGATGGAAGAAAAAAAAATTTTGGGGGGGGGGGAGGGGGCAGTCGTGCAGTCCAACTTAGAAATCTTTGGGCAAGAGCAAAAGAACTACTTTTTCTACATTTCTGTCTTCGGTTCCAGCAAATTGAGCATTAACGTACAATATATACAGTGGTTTGAACACATATATCTTTCATAGAGATCTAGAGTTATGAGATGGAGACACCTTGTAAAATGCAAAACATTTGTCAGACAGTGTTCTAGTCATCATGTTTCCTGACTTTCTTCTTCTTCTGGGTCTTCAAAGCATGTTAAACATGTGAAATATAAACTGAATGTGAAAATTTGAAAACAGATTAGTCCCCCAAAACAAGCAGACAAACCACTTTTGATCTCAACATCAACATCCATTCCCAACCCATTTACACGATAAGAGAAGGGAAAGTAGATGAGGTGTAAACAAATGTCTACCATCTCACATTACTTAACAGAGGAAGAATGTTCTTGTGAGTCAGAGACTGTGAAACAAATCAGATCAAGTGATGATTACTCTCTTCTCACATTCAAAAGATTGATTGTCTCTCGTTTCCATGGAAACAGTGTTATGAACACCCTCACTTCCTTTATCCTTTGTAGGTAGGATACTAAAAGACAACAAACTTTAAAGAGAAGAATGTGGAAGCATTCTGATGGATATATGGACACCGATTGCCCTTTCAAGTTTTGGCAAAAATTTTACGATGGCACAGAACCTCACTTTACCATGATTCAGTTTGGGTTCTATTTTTCTTTTGGAGGGTGGAATATTTCACATCGATGAAAGCCACACACAAAATAGAAATTTAAGAAGAACAGACAGATAGATAGAAAGAGGAAAGAGAAAGAGAGGGAGAGGGAAAGGGAGGGAGAGGGAGGGAGAGGGAGGGAGAGGAAGCGAGAGAGTGGAGAGGAACATGCACCAAATATAATCACGATATGAAGAAGGTGAAGAAAAAAATAAATTTTGATAAACTACTACTTGTACAAAAAGTGTCATTTTAGGTATGGGAATGAAAAATTGTGCAATCAAATACTACTGTCACTTAAAGGCAAATCAATTTTGATCGAGCATAATCACATTTACAACCAACATTCATCTTCTGCTATTAACAAAAGGAATTTACAAATTCTTTATGACACAAACACTACTTTAACCATCAATTCCCAATCACTACATCTTGTAGGGCGACACCTCAAACAGCCTTGCATTCTATATCTGTCACAGCAACAGAAGTACAGGCTGGTTTCCAGGGGATCATTAGTATCTTGACAGGACACTCTATCATAGTCCTGGTAATAAGGAGACTGGGGAGGAAATTCCTTTCACTTGTACAGCATCCCATTCCGATGATTCTGAGAACAATGCAATCCATCTCTATGTCAATTGCGATGTACCTGTCACGCCATGTTCATTGTTTGGAAATAAAGGGTTATCAATCAATGGACTTTTGATGGAGCATTGCTTAATCCATGTTTGATTCCAGAGAAGGATGATGGAGCGGGAGGGGTATTCATGAGGTAATCATAGGACTTTTGGTTTATGGTATAATTACTGTACACTTTATAATGTATTCAAGATTACAGGAGCTTGACTCTGAAACATTAAATGCTAGAAAATAGTGAAATTCAAGGGGCATCATCTATTACCTAGTAGGCCTATGTGTTACCTAATATATTATGTTGGTTACAGTACAAATGAATTGAAGTTATTCGCTTACAGATACACAATCTTTGGAGTCGAAGGTATATTTCCAGTCTATCATCCATTAAATTTTATTTTCTTGCAGACTAGACTATTTAATCCAATCAAAAAACCTTTCCGCTCTCTCTCTCTCATTGGGCAGAGTGCATAAGAAACTGTGTCGATCAATTACTATGAGGGTGAATATTGCCATTGATTGAATCAAGTAAGAATGTATAACGACATAACCTACATCTACAATGAAAAATTGGGTCTGCCTCAAAAGGTACAACATTAAAGACCCTGGAGCAGTTTCAAGGGTTTACGTCTTTTCCTTTCACTCTCTCTCTCTCTTTTTCTTTCTCCATTTCTTCATCTCTTCTTGGCTTCCTCCTGGCCTGTTTCCATCCATAGACCTACCAGGTTTTAACCCCTGTTCTTGCCGCCGTGTCAATATTTGGACACTCATGATAAAAGTCCCCCTGCATTTCATCAAGACGGATTTCATGTCATGTCCAGTATTCATGTTTGCAGAGTGAGGCTCATGCAAGCGCCCTGATTGCAGACAACTAAAGAGCAAAGGAATGGTCTGCATCATACACCAAATATGTAGACCTACATGTATGTCTGAGATAGACAAGATAATTTCCCTGCTGTAAGGTCACTGGTTCAAGAGACAGGATGACCCCCCTCCCCCTCCCTCCCATCACGCCCCTTGCCTTCCTCCTGCTACAAGCAGATTCTTATATATTATCAAATTTTTACATGAAATTGTATATCACTATCAACATTTTTGAAGGGGGATCACAGGATGATCACATCAAGTTCACAGGGCTACAATTCACATGAGGTGGTCTACGAACACGAACACTTTGTACAAATATGTACATGGATGTATTTTCCCCAATGTTACCTCCCTCAATGTTGTACCTGTGCAATGAGTTATGACCTTGGTTGGGTGCTAGATAAATGATGTGAACCACATGGGGATTGTTTGCTTGGCACCATACAAAGAGTCACTCACACATCATAAAAGTCATATTAAATAACACCTGGGATGGATAAATGAAAATATTAGCATAAATACAAGGATGGGGTATTAAAGATGGGAGTGCACTACAAACTTAAAGGTATAAGTTGCTCAGGTATTACACAGGCTCTACTTCAACCTCCTTCCCTGACTTGGTATACCTTATAACTCTCTCTTGATCTCATGATGATGATCATCATCATCATCATCATCATCATCATCATCATCATCGTTCTCATCTCCTCCCTACGACCCCACCCATCTCAGATTCCACTAAACTTACAAGAATCCTTCACCCATATTTTGCGACCTGCTGATGCCTCAGCATCCCAATATTTTCACAAACCTGTCTCCAATATCAACTCTTCCTGACCCCCAAGTTCTATCACTCCATCCTATTCCTTCTTATTTAATATCTTCTCCTTCCCTCCCTCCCTCCTGCCCTCCTTCCCTTCCTCCTCATCTTTCTTCCCCTATCCTATTCCACTCCCCTCTGTCCTACCATCGAACCCCTTTTTTTTCTTCTCCAAATGAAAGTTTTTTTGAATCCCTAGCTAGTGGAAAGAAACACTTGACTGATGAACTACCCCATTATTACTGCTTGAGAAATGACGTCCATTAATCATTCCCTCGCTGGTGAGACAATGTTTCCAGCAAATCCTGAGGAACTTTTCCTAACCTTTGCCTCACCCCCTCAGTATTATGTAAACTTTCAGTCATCATATTGCACTTGGGTGCAAATTGATAGTTTTGACATTCAGTAATTGGGCAAACACTGCTGGGGTGCTGCACATGACTTTTTAATGCACATGTTTTACGACAAGTAGACTGCCCGACATGCGTAGTTCAACAGCTTAAAGGGAAAGTTTCTGAAGTGAGGGAATAATTCTGGTATTGGCACAAGAGATATCTTCTGTTGTCTTCTACATACGTGATGTCATGAATATTCAAGAGTTAAATGGGCAATTACTTATCTAAATGATTATGCTGTATGAAAGGCTTCCTTAAATATCATTTTTAACACAGCATTTACAGCAATTTGACAAACATATCTAAGCAATGTACCCAGAAAAAAGACACTTTCTTTCCATTTCTTTTTACTCTCTGGACCAGTCTACTAGATATTTTTTCAAGTTTAAACTTCCACATTCAATCAGGTAATGTGGGAATGCACAGCCTCCAAATAACCGGCTAAAAGCTAAAAGAGTAGCCATTCCAGTAGACTGATATTACTGTGATAAGCACCTGGGTTGGTTCTTGATCAGAATGGAAATAGATTCTGTCTCTATTTATTCGTATCCATCAGTGTGATAAAAGATTGCTTCTCCAAATATAGTTGTACATACGGAGAGAGGGAGAGAGAAAGAAAAAGAGAGAGGGAGAGAGAGAGAGAGAGAGAGAGAGGGAGGGGGAGAGAGGGGGAGGGGGAGAGGGAGGGGGATAACGAGAGAGAGAGAGAGAGAGAGTGTATGTGAGAGAGAGGGTGAGAGATGGAATTTAAAATTGGATAACATCCCACATCTATGCAGGGATAAATAAAACACAGGTCTCTTGCACATGGCCTCAGACTTTTACTCCACACCCTCAAATTTCAAAATGTAAATAGAAGGTCATAACTTAGTTAGAGATCCTAGAAATGACTAGATAAACCCCTTTTTTTTTTAAAGATATTGTTAGTACAAGTCGAACAACCCCTTTAAACATTTAACTACCACCACATCTACCACTCACTGTGACTATTTGTTTTGGTTATGCCCAACATAAATGTCTTTCTTTGCATATTGGGATCACAGATGGAATTGACTATGTCATAAATCTCTTGGAGATCAGGCCTCATGCCTGTTGCCTCACAGTATAGTTCACCAGGGTAGAACTGAAACCTCTGTTGTTGGTGATTGATTGCCCAGTTAATACAACCTTGCAGCAATTCACAGTACATCTAATCAAGTCTCATTAGGCCTGTCCTCATCAGCTCGAGTTTGGCAAATAACCTGTTATTTTAACTATCCCGATAGCAAATTATCCAGCTAATTTGCGTTTTCATCAGCCCGCAGTTGCAATTAGCGAGATATTAGGTTGAGAAAATATCCCAAGAAATGTTGGTCTTGTTTCCAAAATATCCCGCTATTTGGGACATAGTGGGCTAATATGCACCAGTCCAAGCTAGTTTATGATGACCGTATCGGTCTCTTGGTCTGGTGAAGGTGAAGACGCAATTTCGAACTTCGGGATAATATGCCAAGTCTGAAAATAGCGGGTTCTTTGGCAAACTCGAGCTGATAAAGCCAGGCCTACTTGTAGTGCTAATGAAAAAGAAGAGTTAATTTTCCAGTCAATACACTTGAAACTTGCCAAAAGTATTTCTTGTCATATCAAAGAATATAGGTTTGAGGAAAATTAGATAGAGATACACCAAAGTTATCAAAATTGTAATCAATCAAAAATAAGTTAGTAGTATTGTGATTTTCCTTGAGAGCATCTCTCCCATCTCCCAAAATTTTTCATTTTGCAAAAATAAATACACCATGATATATCTAGGGTAGAGATATGACTTATTATATATACCTCTCTTTAGAAATCTAGCCATCTGATTGGTCGAAATTGCAGTCATGATATTAGCCATTCCCGTAACAATGCCAGTAATGGTCAATAGTTCATGAGGGATATTCCCGCAAGATTCAGGGTACCAGGAAAATAGTTTTGCTGCGATCCCCATTGGTTTACGTGTTAAAACTTAGTTTGTGCGCAGCGCGGCTACCATACAGCTTTTGTGCGATAATTTGGTCGCTACATTTTAGACGACCGCCGATCTCGATTGTTTTTTTTTGTAGGCCTACATGTAATCTCAGATTTTGGGGTATCTAAATTTGATTTTATGTCCAAAGAAGGTAAAAATGGCTGAAGAGACTCTTCCTGTGTTTGAACTTCTTGATGATGATAAATTACAAGACCTCATTCATTCTGCAGACAGCAAGAACACCAAAAGTTCTGTAAAATATTCAAAGAATAGGTCTACATCTACCTGCAAGTTATCAACACAGACTTCGATAGCGTAAACAAACTTGATTACTATGATTGGTAAGTCGCAGATGTCTTCTATGGCCTTTTTTACGGTATATAACAGATATAATGACTGCTTTAAAGGTAAAGACCAGTATTGGAAACGCCCCAATTTCAAAAAATGAAATGGAAGCTCTCATTACCAATCATGTGAAAGAATATTTTGACTAATACATGATACAAAATTTGCCGGGAAACCGCCTACTAATTCATATATTTGGTAAATTTGTTTCTCTCATGGTCTGTGAGAGATATAGGGTAGTCCCATATACATCTCTCTGTGTATAGTGCTTGTAACTTTACGAAGAATGGGCCAAATTTCTTATCATTTTGATGATTCCAGAACCTTGCAGATGCTAGATGCTAGATGATCAACCTTTTCTGATCGATTCCACAACGTTTCTTTCACAATGCAATCCCATGACCATAACTGGTCTTTACCTTTAAAACTTGAGGAATAGTTATTTTATGGGCTCTCGGGGGGGGGGGGGGGGGGGGAGGGGCACACCTTAGGTGATATCAGGATGCAACATCCCCTTGAGCCTATAAAACAACTATTCCTCTTATAGCAGTCATTGTATCTATACTATTTCTTTCTAAAGTGACTGGTATGAATATTAATTACCCAGCAAATTGGAAAGGTGTTATATAACAAGGTAAATCAAATAATAATAAAAACGGTGGTTATTATAAAGCGCTTACCTTCGGAGTTTCTGTCTTTAACAAACAAAATACAATGATAAACAATTACATGTTAAAAAAAACAAAAAGAAAATGCAAATTAACCTACAAATTACAATACATATGAAACATACATCAAAGGTAATATATAGGTGATATAAAGGTAATATACATCAGAGGTTGCCAACTGTGTTTAATTTGATTACATCTGAAGAATCGTATGTTTAAAACCTAATAACTTTGATATCCTTTATCGGACTTTCCTTCAAATTTCACTGATCGTTTCTCTCATTCTTACGCCTTTATTCAAGCCAGGATGGAGCAATACATGTATCTGACGTTCTCATTTCAAGCTGAACGTGCCTTTGGTACTACTTACCATGTAGGTACAGAGCGTTGACCCTGTGCCGAAGACCAGTTCACACTGCTGGGTGATGTTGTACACCTCTCCAGGATGACTGACGGGCAGGGAGCGGGGTCCGGTCGGTTTGTCCAATAAGCATTCGCCATATCCAAGACTACAGAATAGAGGAGATATAGATCAATATGGAGATAAAGATTAACAAAATTGCACATTACTTGTACATTTTCATGGACTTCATATAGGTCTATTGCTTTTCTTTCGTTGTCTCATTTCTTTTTATGACTCATTCAACCACAATTTGAAAATTTGAAAGTTATATTCTTAAATTTGGAACTAAAATGTTGAAAATTAGAATGAGATCAAGTGTATACAAATTCATTTATACAATTAAACCATAGGTTGAACAATATTATCTTATCAAAAGCATTTTCAGAATAAGAATCTATACTTTTTTATTTGAATAAGGTACTATTTGTTCTCTCACATTAGTAATAGGTTCACACTCTGATCACTTCATCTTCACATTCTATTCTCCAGAGCAAGATAAAAAATCCGGACTTCAGAACATATAACCCAGTTGAAACAAAACCAGATCATTCAGCAAAATCTGATACTGGCTCTGAAACAATCTTCACATTATGGACTCCCAGCTCCAGCCCACCTACACTGTACCCTATCACTTCTAATCATGATCAGTCCCTCACGTATTCGAGACCATGTTAACTGGTCTCAATCATATTTTATCCATCCCGATAGAAACAAAATTATACTGCAAATCGAGTTGCTCCAAAGCACTAACTCCTTCGTCATTGTCTGCCGGCACCGGCCATCAAAACACTTCAAACCTAATCAGACCTGGAAAGGGAGAAGTCTTTATCTCTCTATTGAAATGTCCTCAGGAGAAATCAGCTCTAATGCACAGATGACTATCGCTAAAAACAATCCAAGTTAATACATGTCAGATGTAAGCACACAAAAATACATCCCTGAGCAGTCATAATAGTCTCCCACACAACTGTCATGAAAAGGTTTCCTTTAAACTACATGCGAGACGACTTAATCGGGTCGATCGAGGACATGTAACAAATTCAATGCACATATATCTCATTCAGGCTACATTCCATAAAACTGCAACTATAATAGGCTATGTCTGGGTCCAAAATATACAGTTAGTTTCAAAGATTATCAAAATTATTGGCAGCTAAACACTTGCAGAAGATTGAAAATATGATAAATGTCATATCCATATAGGGTAACTATCTAGACCTAAAACAGCTCATCGTAAAAAAAATTGAAAATTAGAAATCCAAGCACTTTTATCAGTTCCCCTCTGCCATACTTAAAACAAGTTTTCAATAAATTTTATCTTTGACAACACATACAGAACATTATGTTAAATTGAGAGGTTATTCATTATATTCCTGGGTTTCACATCAAACCAATTAAATGACTTCTTTCACCCATTTACGACCACATCATGGTTTGATCAAATGTATCTGAATGGAGTAACCACCCAGAATGATGCCATAATCTGGTTTTGATTTTACATCTCCATCAGAGTACCATAACATATGACAAAAAGGTGTCAAAATATAAAATGAGCAGTAAGAGACAGAGAAACTAAAAAATCGCTAGTCCTCTATCTCTTCAGTAAAAATTGACTGAAAGATTTCTATTAATCATTGATACAATCATCAAATATTTTATGTACCTGAAAATGACAATTTGGAATTAGCTCTATGGATAAGCCATTTTGGTAAAAATATTGAAATCCCAATTTATTTAATTTTTTTTTTTTGGGGGGGGGGGGAGGAGGGGGGGTATGAAATATTGCATGCTTTCACAATGTGCAATTGCTAATTTGCTGGTATTTCATCGATAGCTGTTATAAGCATTACCAAAACGGATCCTGATACTCAAAATGAATTTTCCATTCATAAAGAGAGAATCTCTACAGTACCAAATCATCAAAAATATTTATCCTCTTAAATACATGCCACTCATTCTCATAGTGGGTTCAAAATTGCCAACCCTTTTTCATAAAAAGATTTTCCTGAGATAACAAGTTCGAGGACAAAACAGGGCAATTGGTTCCAAAGAGTCCCAAACAAATTGCCATTTCAGAATTCATGAACAAGATTCTGATCTCTGGTTGCGAGAGTTTAATCGTCGGGCCAAAATAGAACGACTCTGATTTCTGAAGTTCAACGGGGGATGTCATATGAATATGATGAATGGGGGTTTGAGAAAGAAGCAATACATTGAAAAGCCCCTATTGTAAGACATCGGTGAACATCCCGTCAAACAAGATTCGTGCAGAAATTTTGCGGGGATGTCTTTGATAGATACTTGAGAGCAAGAAGTCATGGTCATATCGACATTCCTCTCTGAAAATTGGGTCATTGATAAAGATAGCGCTTTGTAGACGCTTACAACCCCATCTCTGTGTTTATGAGAACATAAATTGACTCCATAATGGAAGATATTGTGCAACATGATCCCGCATCAATTTCTCATATTTCAGAAAGAGTGACAAATATAAATATGAAATACCTTGAATAACGGTGATGATTTTTTTTTTTAAAGACTCATCGAATTGGGGGTACTTTGGAATCAATTTACGGGACAAAGGCTGACAAGTGAATCCCAAAGCCGCAATTGTATAGATCTGTGAGTGATTGGAGCTTGTAGCATCTATCGTTGGGCTGTGTGTCACCATTTTCCTGTTTGATCCCCCGATCGTAAGTCCCTGTGGGGAAGAGGCCTCTGGGGATATAGCCCATCAACAACATCACCCAATATCAACACGCAATTGTCACCGAGTCGCACACAAAACTCAATGAAAATCAGGGATGAATAAAATAAGGAATTATTACATTTCAAATCCCTCCTTTGGGGCCCGGTGACAATGGATTTCATATCCCAGTCATTTCCTTAAATTTATATCCACATCGGCCACGCTTGACTGAGTGCGTGTGACATCCAATCTTTTGATGGGATTTCGTTCCAACTTTTAGGGGTCTAACGAAATTTGAAAAGTACAGGAAAGGTTATCCAAAGTGCATTTATACGATAAAGTCATTGAGTTTACACATACCACAATTTGGTCACTCACAGATCATTCTTATCTCTTTTTTTCCCCATACCATCCACAGATGACTCAAACAAACAGGTGAAAAATCAATTCTTCATTAGGGCATTTAGCAAATCAGCCATAACGACAACGTGCTAGAAAAGCTGCCGCAACAAATGTTGATCTTGGCTTTGTGCCCTCAAGAAAGGAAACAGGAGGATGTCTGAACAAAAGAGAACATCATTTCTTCCTCCTAATCATCTTTAACCTCATTACACCTTTTGTGCAATGCTATAAAAACCAACACATTTTCCTCGCGTTAGTGGATACTGTGAATGGACCGGGCCATGCTTCGGAGCAGTCAATTCACCTGATTTTTTAATATTAGGAATCGGCACAAAAAAGGCAATGGAGAGGTCGTCTCTCGCCCTAGGAAAGAAATATCTCCCAAATGTGAAGTAGAGTTCAAACCTCATCAACCTGCCGACACAGCATTATCCATTTACAGCTCTTGGCACATCAAGGAATGTCCCAATAAAAATTCTGAATTATGACATCTCTTAATAAATTCAATCCCCCTCTGTCACTATATATAACTACATACATCTTTATCTTTAACAATATATTTATAAATCTCTGTATTTTGTTTTATTCTTTTTATCCATTGTGAGTTCTGCTACAACCACCTTTTGCATGTTTATATCTAGTAACATTTGATTTGTCCTATACGTACTATTCTGTAGGCGTAATATTCTAGAGGCAAAGGAAGAAGCAGAGGGAAAGGTAGTTTTATAATAGTATATGTATACATGTACAGGTATGTTATGAACATTTACTGTACAGGTACTAGGAGGAAGAGAAGGGTAGAAGGAGGGACAGAGAGGAGGGGAAGGAGAAGGAAATAGTTGAGAAGAAGAACGGGAGGAGGAAGATAAGGAGGAGAATTTTTAAGGGAGCTGGAGGAGCAGGACCAAGAAGAAGAAGGAGGGTAGGGGGAGGAGGTGGAGGTGGAGGAGGTGGAGGAGGGAAGGAGGAGGGGGAGGAGGAGGAGGAGGGGAGGAGGAGGAAGGGAGGAGGAGGAGGGGAGGAGGAGGAGTAGGTGGAGGTGGAGGTGGAGGAGGGAAGGAGGAGGGGGAGGAGGAGGAGGAGGGGAGGAGGAGGAAGGGAGGAGGAGGAGGGGAGGAGGAGGAGTAGGTGGAGGTGGAGGTGGAGGAGGGAAGGAGGAGGGGGAGGAGGAGGAGGAGGAGGAGGAGGAGAAGGAGGAGGAGGAGGAGGAGGAGGAAGAGGAGGAGGAAGAGGGGAGGAGGAGATATTTTAAGCATAGGCTAACAAGTAAGTTGTAGCATGATATCCAGACTACTTCAGAGATGTCAATCACGCTAATTACTTACTCTAAGAATTCTGTGAGTTGGTTTCGGCTGCACTTGGACCATTTCCATGGGCTGGAATGGTAGTTGAGCGTGGGGGCCATTACAGCGTACTTTCCTGCAACTATGTCACTCTGACATTTGAAGTTACTGTCATGCAGCATATTGAATCTGTAATGCAAAGTGAGAGGGTAGAAAGAGAGAGAAATAGCACTTTTAGAAATATCAGTTATTCAAAATTACAGGCTTTAATACAGTGCCAAGGAACATAAAGCTGCTCTTCTACAATACAAAATATTATACTTACCAACATAAATTCCAAAATATATACCCTCTTAACTAAAGGACACAGATACATTCATCCCCATTCCAATCCTTTTTATAACTATACCAGTACTAATGATTCAAAATGAGATGCTGTTCCAAGAAATGTCAAACTCTTCAGCAAATCAGAAAACTGACAAATATGTTCCCACGAACAACCTCCAAACAAAATATCCTCCGATTGATAGAGTAACTCCTCCTCTATCCTCTGTATGAAATCCCTTCCATCAACATAACATGTTTCTATTTGTATTATCGGTAGAGATCTCCCACTTGGTGCTGAGTCAGAGATGGTAGTTAAAGGAGAAATGTCAGTTTACTGTTGTGAACTTGTGCAAAATATCCTCCACAAAATAAAAGGTAACTTTCAGTACATAACAAAGCATAACGAAAACAATACAGAAACACATGAAATATTTAAATGTGTCACACTTAGTATTAGTACATATTGATTTCTGTACAACATGCATTAAAAAAAATTCAGTGCTTGAAAATCATTCTATCCTAAATTTGCTTGATCTTATTAAGTCTACATAATTTCACTACCCTGAATGCAAAATTTCTGCAGCATTCAAAATTCATACAGTTTCATGTACTTGTTCCTTTTGAGAGCAGAAATTATATTAGGTCTGCATTAAATTGTATGAGTTTTTCTTGCTGAAACATTTACTTTGCTTTGCTAAAACTTCTAATCCATACAGAATTGCAGATTATCACCACAAGGGAACATTGAGGTTGATTTATTGTCAAATGGCATCTTTTCTTGTATCATTCCCAGCAATTTCATTATCCACAAAAATAAACATAAATTAGAAATTGAGAAAAGTGTATATTTGATCTAAAATTTGACAATATAGTAATTAATGTCATTTTCCATGATCATAAGCACTGATTTGTTGGTTCTGATATTGGCAATTTTACATCTCACTCAAATTTCCAGGGAAAACTGTAAAATATAATGAGCCTAGCTCAGCAGCACTTTAAATAACCCATCAAACAGGAGGATAAAATCAAAACTGCAAGACAAGTTGAAAGTCAATTTGTCACATCGTAAAACTTACTTGGCTTGCTAAACCAAAACGGTGTAGTATCTCAATGTCAAACGGAGCAACCGAACTGACGCAAACAAGTTCAAAAGAGCATGAAATTTATGAGGCCATGGTCCATTAATGGACCTCAGTGAACATGGCTTAAGTCAGGCATAGCATGTACTTGACCTAAACTGATAGAAACCAAATTACTTTCTATCACCCAAATGTAATCACCACATGCTACCGTGGAGGTTGAATAGAGATGCTGTCTATTCAAGTTTTCATTTGCATCACACCTATCCCTCTTCTGAACTTTCCTAATGAATATTCAATCAATAAATTACAGTAGAGGTTGGTTTGATTTCTTTTGTTAATGTATTTTTTCACTGATTATCTGTTGACTCTAGTTTTGTTATCTGTCCTCTTTGCTGTGAGGAGGATGTTCTGTCAGTATCTTTCAACAGGCCAAGGCTGCCATTTAAATCATTAGTTCAATAAATAATTGAAATAAACTCTTGATTTTGGCTCAAACTCTGGAACAGAATGTGTATTTCCCTGAGAAGCCATCAACTATTTAGATAATATTTTCAATACACACATGTATAAACATGATGAATTCATATACTTTGTATGTAAGGTGCATCATATGATCATCTTCATCATCGATGTCATCATCATCAAAAACAGCAAAATTTATCCCTCCAAACGAAATCCTTGTGCAACAGGTATTCATCACATTTATTCCTTGAGGGCTGGTTTTCAGTTTCATTATCACTACTAACAGAATGATTTGTGAAATAAAATGAACTGAAAGAAGGAAACTTTTTCTTGTCTGAATGTCAGACTAAGCTTGACCCAAAGAAGTGATATGAGGTTAAGACAACACTGGACAAGAAGGTAATACTCTTCTATTTCCCAAACAAAACACGTATTTTGACAACAAATATTAAAAAACAGACTAAACAATGTAAGAGAATATGTTCAGCGGTCAAATTTCACATAATTGAAAGAGGCATAATTACAAACAAAGACAGGAAGAAATGGACACACACAAGTTCCAGTTAATAAACATATTCATATTCATGTACTATGGTACTATAGCAGGTCTTCACATGAGGGTATTAGTATATAACAGTTGCCATGGTAACCATACCATCCCCTAAATGGAGTCTCCAGACCTAGCCTCCTTGACCCCTAAAATATGGTCACCCAAAAAAATTGTCAATTTAGATGAAATATGGATGAAATGCAGCCTTGTATTTATCATATCACATCAAAATGAAAATCCTGCCATCTTTAAAGAGGAAATTCAATGTTTTTCTGTAAATTCCTCCACAAAGCCTTCTCGTTCATCACATCATGGGCTTCTCAACTTTTGAATACCCTTGATGAAAAAAAGATTCAAGGTTTATTGAAACTTCCCTCCCTCACAAATTCCCTTTTATGATCATATAATGACCTGATATATCAATATTACATCAAGAGGGGCTCATCTTTAAAACTGATTCAAGGTTTTCTGGCGAAAGTCTTCCACATGTGAAAATATTGTCTCTATACAAAATTACTTTTGTACAATGTTAGAAACAACAAAACAGCGGAAGCAAATATATTGGGGGGAAAAAAACCCTTAGCTAGCAATTCTTCTCATGAAACAAATATGAAATTCCAAAGAGCTGTAATGAACTACCACCTTTAAAGAAAATCCATTAACTTTCAAAATGCCTTTGCTTCATGTAGAATCTGAAATGCCTATAATATCTCTTTTATTTCCAGAACATACAAAGGAGAATTTTTTTCAAACTTAACCAAAAAAAAGCTTTATAAAGCCTGCTTGTGGTATAGCCCCAGTCCCATATAAAGCCGGACCAGCACGGACGAGCACGGACCACTCCGGACCATCCCGGACCATGGTCTGGGGTGATCCGGGATGGTCCGGGATGTTTTGTTCAAAAAAGTGTGATGCTTTAAAAGCTACAGTCCCATATACGTCCCGGACCGTCCCGGACCATCCCGGACCCCATCCGGGGTGATCCGGGATTCGGTCCGTGTTGACACCGTGTTGGCACCGGGGTGGTCCTGGATGGTCCTGGATGGTCCTGGATGGTCCTGGATGGTCCTGGATGGTCCTGGGCGGTCAATAACTCACTCCCGGACTGCCACGGATCAACACGGACCGCCCCGGCGCCACTACGGATGACCCCGGACCCAGCACGGTGGCTACACGGATCACCCCGGATCAAACTATTGTCCCGGACCGTCCCGGACCACCCCGGCAGTTTTTGACCGTCAAAAACATCCGGGGTCGTCCTGGACCGCCCAGGACCATCCAGGACCATCCAGGACCATCCAGGACCATCCAGGACCACCCCGGTGCCAACACGATGTCAACACGGACCGAATCCCGGATCACCCCGGATGGGGTCCGGGATGGTCCGGGACGGTCCGGGACGTATATGGGACTGTAGCTTATCAGAGAGGTGAGAAATTCTTTTCTGTCAGATGTAATTGCTTGAAGCTGACAAAAAAAAAAGCAAAATAATAAAATTATATATGTTAGGAAAGTATCTTTCTCATTTTTGAAGTGGTCATAAATACCAGTAAGTGATAAAGACACCTACTTCCATCTTTGTATTTCTGTAGCTCATTTCACACAGGATATTTCCAGCAAAAATATGAACGGGACCACATCACATTTCATAAATTATACCTTACCTTTAAAACCATCCATTTCATATTGGTATACTCTGGCCCTACCACATCGAACACAAGGACATACATGATGAAGATGCAGTGTTAGATAATACCATGCCGAAGGGCTCTGAAACTAGGATGGCGAAGTGATAATTGAAATCACTTACACTCTCAAAATTGGAGCCACATTTTCAGGATTTTATCATTACCAAGTTAGTTTCAGGACAACAAACTTCAAATATCCTCCTTTCATACACTATAGCACCTGATGCTGTTTGCAGCCTGTTTCCACTACCCATTCATAAGTTTGTATGTCCATTTTAGCCCATGCAATGACCAATGAGAACGATGGCTTTTACAGTTCTAGTAGTGGTGAAAATCATTAGAGCTGAAATACCGGTAATTACTATTTTCCTATGAAAGAAGTGACTTTCATTCTAGAGTTTGTGAGTGAAAAAAGATTGATCTTTTTAGGAATTGAGAAAGTACGTTTGGACATTTGGAACAGGGAGAAAAAAACAGAATAATTAGCTGTGTGGAAAGGAGGACACTGTTTAACCTGCAACCTACGAAAACAAATTACTTTTGTATAATTGCAGGAAATGGAATTGATAAAAATCTTTCCATCAGTATATCATATTCAAAATTGTATAAATAGATTAATACACATTTGATTCACCAAAAAAAATGAAATCTTTCAACATCTCCTGATGACAAAATCTGCCATTATTCAGCTGATGAAGAAAACCTTATACACAATATCCGTGAGTTTAATAAATGCTGATACAGATCAGACAAACCTTCACAACACTTATCCCTCTCCCACCCCCCCCCCCAAAAAAAAAAATAATAACTTTGAAAGGAACTCATTCAAATAAAATGACTGATGGCATCTTTGGGTCCAAAATTTGTTCAAAGCCCGATTAACACCAGATTACACGCTTGATATCGGATGGGTATAATACCCCAACAACCAAAGGCAACCATATAACAGTTGGTTGGCAAATACTCGACAGCTATACAATGATGTCACATTGTTCATTGATGAGAAGTGACCACTCCATTTTGTGAGTTGTGTGAGTTGTGGCCGAATGACCTAGTCTGCGGGTTCAGATTCCGAGCTTT